CAGGAATACTATTCAGGGGTCCCTTTGTACCAACACAGTGAACAGAACTCGTTGCTGCTGTGTTCTTATGATCACCATCTGTGATGAGAAAGGACAGATGGATGTTGTAAACAGAAGCAGAGGAGAAGGAGGAGGTCACCGTGTGTTCACTTCTTAGCTTTTCATCAGCTAGAGTCCCCCTGTACATAGTTTAACTGTCAGTCTAACACCTTTCACTCAGGAGTCAGGAAAATGGTATTTCCAAAAGGGAGAAGCTTTGTCGATTGTGCAAATTAGACAAACTGAAAATTTGCCTTCCCCCTAATTTTTTAGGTGTTACTCGTAACCATTAAAGTGTTACCTGTTGCCAGTGGCAATAAAAACCCAGAGCAACTGTTCTTTCCCGGATCCAGCACTCTTTTCAACCTTCCCCATGTCCCTGCAGATGAGAGCAAGTTTTCTGTAGCTTAGAGATAGCAACCCAGACACTACGGTGAAGTGGCTTGTTCAGAGTCACCCTGCAATCCCAAATCAGAGGTAGGAGCAGTAAGTCACTTCAGAAGACAAGAAGTGTCTCAAACCATAAGGCCATCTTGCAAAACTCTGAGCAACCGGTAGCAGATGCCTTAGAGAGCACAGGAAGAGGGTAAGCACATCATCAGGCTTTCTCAGAATAGTTTCCTGGCTTATATGACTCAAAAATGTACGATCGCAAGTATTTTCACTGGGTTTCTGTTTCTCAGACGACTGTGACGGAGTTTTACTTTGCGCTTTTCCAGAACGTGAACACAATGACAAGAAGGACATTGACCCCAATGCTGGACGGTTTGTTCGCTACCAGTTTACCCCAGCTTTTCTTAGACTTCGGCAAGTGGGAGCCACGTAAGTAACTGCTCCCGTGCAACTTTTTCTAATATAGGAAACAACTGAAACCTTATAAAAAGTGGCTTTTGCTTGTTGATCCTGTCAGGAAGTTGCTGTAATAGGGATCTTTTGTTATGATGAGGATCTCCAAACATCTTTGCTGGATGCTTTGCTTTCTCTGTTACTTTAGTTTGTTCATTCACCTCAAGAATAAGCATGGAGTTAAAGAGATTAATGCTAAAAGGGTCAAAATAGGGTGGACAAACTACCCAGATACTCCAGCTCTTTTCTGCACATTATGGTTTGTTTGTCAGAGGCTCTGCCAGCTTCAGAAAATGTGTCTGCAGCCTTCCACGTTGCATTCCCCAAAAAGCATTAATCTATAGATGCACGTGAAGTAATGTTTGACACTTTACGTACCAGAAAGGTCTTTGACGTCTCTGCTCTCTGAGACCGACCCCCCCGCAGTACTGCGTTCAGCTCAAGAGTCCCCAACCTAAGAAGGACATGGAGCTGCTGGAGTGGGTCCAGAGGAGGCCGTGAAGATGATGTGAGGGCTGGAGCACCTCTGCTATGAAGACAGGCTGAGAGAGTTGGGGTTGTTCAGCCTGGAGAAGAGAAGGCTCCGGGGAGATCTTATAGCAGCCTTCCAGTACCTAAAAGGGTCTACTAGAAAGCTGGAGAAGGACTTTTTGCAAGGGCGTGTAGTGATAGGATGAGGAGGAATGGCTTTAAACTGAAAGAGGGGAGATTTAGGTTAGATATAAGGAAGAAATTTTTTACAATGAGAGTTGTGAAACACTGGAACAGGTTGCCCAGAGAAGTTGTAAGTGCCCCATCCCTGGAAGTGTTCAAGGCCAGGCTGGATGAGGCTTTGAGCAATGTGATCTAGTGGAAGGTGTCCCTGCCCATGTCAGGGGGGATTGGAACTATATGATCTTTGAGGTCCCTTTCAACCCAAACTGTTCTATGATTCTATGAACTTGTATAAAAATCCAATACAATAAGGGTTGCCTACTGAGGGATCTAGTGAAGTGCCTATCCAGTATAGTTGGAGGAATCTTTTCTTCACTGAAGATGAATTTAAGATTGTAAAATTGTCTTGCATGTCCTGTTGTTTGGTTTGTGTTTTTTTTTTTTTTAGTAAAAAGAATAAAAAAATAGTATAATCTATGATTTGTAATGCTGTGTTGTGTCCCTGTAGCATGCTTTAAGAAAAAGAGGAACCGATTCTTTGGTGGGTACCATTACTTCAGATGTTTGGCTTTTTTTCAGAAGATCTCTCTTCTACCTTTCAGGAATGGTTGAAAATCTTGCTTAAGCAAGAAAGTTCATTTCAATCTTATCCTTCTTTTTCAGGGTGGAATTCACAGTAGGGGACAAACCCATTAACAACTTCCGCATGATTGAGCGGCACTATTTCCGGGATCAATTGCTTAAGAGTTTTGATTTTGAATTTGGGTTCTGCATCCCCAGCAGTAAAAATACTTGTGAGCACATCTATGAATTCCCACAGCTCTCCGAGGATCTCAGTAAGTGCTCTTGAATTACTGGGTTACCACAGAGTGATGTTAATCAGAAGTGTTTTGAGGAAGCCCTTTCTTAAGAGGGGCTCTAGAAAGGGGGTAGGGTAGAATACTTCCAGGTAGTTTTGTATTGGTGTTAATGTGGATTTTGTTGTCTAGTAGCATGTGTCTTGTCACCTACCAGACAGTTGCTTCTTTTTTTTTTTTTTAATTTAGAAAAGGGAAGCTTCAGTGTTGGGGAGAAAAAAAATAATTGTTGTAAAACAACCAAAAAATTAAAAATAGGTCCAATAAGTGGGTAACTTAAATGTTACATTCTGTTTTAATGATTGATCTGCTATATTGATAGCTTGAGAGGTTTTAGTTGCAGTATGGATATAACTTTTCTCTCCCAAGATACAATATCATCAATACTAAATCTGTGTGACTTTGTGTTCTTTACAACCCCTAATTGTGTGTCAGTGCTGATTTTACAGTCTGGGGAAAATATAGCGATGCTCTGCTGCTTACTTATTGTCACACCCAAACGAATTTCTTTTGAGTTCACTGTTTTATCACTTTTTTTCAAACAAAACAAAAAAACCCCCAAACCCCAAACTCTAGTGTGATATTGTTTTGAGGTTAGGTAGAGCACTGACACTTTGTATGGTGCCTTAATATATTTGGATGATGTTTGAGTTCTTTAAAAGATACTGTCAACGAATGGCTTGGGTAGGTTCCTGTTTTGGTTTTTCACTTGAGAGTTTGCCGCTATCTGAGCAGTGCTCCTAGGCGTGACCCAAACCCAGTGCAGAGTGTTGCCTCAGTAGGGCTTCTGTGCAACACCATTAATTTTTAATTCTTTTTTTTTTTTTCTTTTTTTCCCTGCAGTTCGTGAGATGATCCTTCATCCATATGAGACACAGTCGGACAGTTTCTACTTTGTAGACAACAAGCTCGTGATGCACAACAAGGCAGATTATTCATACAGTGGAGGACCTTGAAAGCCAACCTTCGCTGGCCTTCCCTTTCCTATCCAAGTCGTCAGGGATACCAACACCTTCAGTTCAGTTGTCTACAACGTCAACTGGACAAGGATCCACAAACCAAGGACTCTGCCACAGTAGGAGTTTCATGACTAAATTTGCCAGTCTCATCTTTTTTGAACTTTGAAGCAGACCCAATCCTTCAGAATTTTAAGCGGTTCTACAACGCTAAATGATCTTTGGATACCACTTCCCTAAGTTCTTTAAGCGTCTGCATTGAAAATGGCCTTGTGAGAGAGACCTGGGGGATTTTGCCCTAATTCTGCAGATCTGTGTTCTTGCCCTCAAGTATCTTTTAGGATGTGATGGCTTTCTCAAAGAATATGATCTGAGAGACCACGTGAGTGGATGGATGCAAATGCAGAGTTTTGTTTGTTTCTCTTTGTGAATGCTTCAAAGGCTTGGCCAATTTAACTTGTACATCCAGTTGAAAACGTTAAGTGTAACATCTTACAAAAGCAAGTTTCATCTTTAGATTAGTTCTCTAAATAAGTATCTCACCCTGTAGTTTTGTTCCTTCTATGCAATATTTTCTTTAATCTTGGAAACAGTGAAACTCACAACGAAGACCAGTAGTTGAATGACAGAGCTGTCTTCAGTCAGGTACTGTCCTTTTACATTTCAGATGAAGGCAAAATAGCATTGAGGGTCTGTGAACCTCCATAAGCATTCTCCATCACTTTCAGTTTTTGCAAACCGATTGCAGAATAATCAGGAAAAATTGAAGGATTTTAGCTTTGTTTAACATTTTCGCGTAGCTAACATTCAGCCTATTCAGGCTATACATTTTCCATGTCCATTTTCTTTTATTTCTGCTCAATACGAACATAAGGGCTTCAATACTGCTTGTTAGAGCAACACTTCATTTGTCTAGGGCAGTTGGAGAGTGTGGAATTTCCAATTTTCCATTCATATCTGAATTTGAAGAATGTTATGCCAGTGTTTTCCCTTTGTTAAAAGCGTTTTGCTTCAGATATTAATACAGGTGGAACAGTAAGTCTAATAACGTAGGACTTTAAGGCACAGCAAAGATTTAGCCAAAGTTCTCTCTTCAGACTCTGTCAGAAGTTTAAGATCAATTTTGCCCAAGTTTCTCAGCATGATAGAAGTGCAAAGAAGTGGCAACATCAAGAGAGTAAACTCGTGTATGCAAAACCAAACCTGAGAAGGCGGTGTGGGGTAGCCCGTTGTCATGAAACCCTTACTCTAAAGGTCAGTTCACTGATACTTTAAAAAAATAAAAGGCAGTTGCAGTTTGTAGATATTTCTATAAATACTTGATGTCTCCATGTCTAATTCTGTGAGTTTAAGTGGAACATTATATGTTAGCCTCAGATAGGTGTGATTGTAATAATTTTTATAAAATCCCATTTCCAGTCGTGATTGACATCTTTCTAGTCACAGCCTAAGTCAAACAGAACTACAAGTGGTTCCAAATGTAGCCATCTGCCTAAGAACAGGGAGGTTTTTGTGCTCTCACTGGGATTGTGGTCACTTTTACACGTGTTACCATTTGTATTTGGCTTGGCTTTCTCTGCTTCTGAAAGAGGATTCAGTTTTCTAAAGAAAATGCAGTGATTTTAGGTTACAGCACAGAATTTTTTATGAAGACCGATAGCTAAGAAAGTACATAAAGTTCACTAGTTTTACACAACTGGTATCTTGTGCTAATTGTTATCACAATGAGACTTGTATTTATCACTATTTTTTGTCTCTAGTATTAAATCATACAATTAGCCTATGGGTGACTTACCTGTTTGAGAGTTACAAAGAATTTCCTATTTGTACAATGCTTTGAGCTACTGATCATTAAGTTTTATAGCACTATAATTACTAAAGGTGAAAATAGTTTCAAAAAGCCTAGATCCCCCCCCCTTTTTTTTTTTTGTCAGGTTTGTTAAACTATATATTCAATTACATTTTGCAAATTTAACTATTTATGAATTTTGTTCGTTTATATATATATGCATCTCAGTATATTTTGGTCAGAGCAGTTGTACTTTGTTGCAGACTTTTGTCACTCTTGGGTTATGGTACTGAGTATCCTCTGTGTAGCGTGTCATCGTCTGCTGATCGGGAAGAGTCATGTTCTGCTCCTTTTTTATGCTACCTCCTTTTAAGACTCTGGACTCAAAACCAAAAGTATTTCCATAAAATATTATTGTAATCAACAAAATCTTGAGTGGTAGACATGCCCCTTTAAAAAAGAACCTAGACAAAGTTACCTTGCTCCCAATAGTACAGTATGTTGTGGACTTTCTGACATGCTGCATTTTATGGTAGGTTGGAGGTTAAACATAAGTGGATGAACTATCCACTACTGATCTCTGGAATTCTGCTAGCTGTTCTGGTAATTCAGATTCTATAGGTAATAATTTCAGGCTAGTGTGAATCATATAGGGCATATTTTATTGAGTGAATTTGTTGTCTTCTATTATTAGGAGTACTTTAAAACAGGAACAGACATTGGACATTTTCAATAAGATAAATTTCATCCTATTTTAGCTTCAGCATTTCAGTTTGAGGAATTTTACTTCTGTTAAAAGTCCCCACAGTCTTGCTACAAATAACAAGTTGTGATTCTTAAACCAAGGCAAATAACAAAACTTTCTGGGGGAAGTGTATTGTAACAAAAGGTGCTTTTTTTTCTGTATTCCACTGCAACAGTTATCACTGTTGTCGCTCCCTTTCACTTGGAAACAGGTTGTTTGCTTTTCTTTAAGGTCATCTACATCCACAACGTTTACAAACATATGGGAATCTATGATTCTATGATTCCTTTTCTACCTGTTTGTGCAGCAGTACGTGTAGTGTTGACATGAAACATCATAGTGTTGCACAGAAACACGACTAGAACTGGTGCAGCGCAGTTGCTGTTCTAATGCCACTTCTGTCCTTGTTTTGCATTAAAACTGTGTGCAGAATTTAACACTAAAGATCATGCTTTGTAAGGCACTGGACAACTTCAACTTTAATCTGAAAGGGAAATGAAACGCACATTTTTTTCCCTTAAAATTGGCACTTGATTCTTATAAAGCGGTTGAAAATCAAACCTTAACAGCATTGTTCACAGAAGAATTTGTTAGTCTTCCTGGCTAGTATTAATCATTATTGCATTTACTTTGGAAGTTCATCCACAAAATCACCAAATATTGGCTCTGGACAAATAGTTCTTGTATTTTTTTCTTTGGTCTCATTTTAAAAATTATTTTAATTAGCGCTACAGCTCTGTTTTAATAAGCCAGTCTGGAAATTCAAGATCTGACTTTCTGAAAGGGAAAGAAAACATCAAACAGCTAACCAAGATTATCTGCTAATAATGACTAGCTGTTTCCTGTTGTAAAATGTGATTATGGGTGTACTTTACAGAGTGAATTAATCTTGGGAAAAGAAACTAAGTGTCTGTGAGTGCTAATAGTGACATAATTTTTCTGAGAAACAAGGATATCATAACTCAACACATTCTTTCACTTTCTCAGTCTTGGATTCCTTTAAACTTCATTTTTTTTAAAGAAAAGCAACAGTAATAATTTTGTGGTTAACTACCAGGCTGCATGGTCTAATAATTCACAAACTTTAGTGGCAGAAAAAGAACAGTTTATTTTTAAGATTAACACGTCAAGTATAACTTTTTCTCTTGCATTTGAGATAGCTGGTAGCTCCTGTTAGAGGTTCTTTTCTACACCCCCAGCACAAGTGGCACCTACGTTTGTACGACGGTTTCAATATCGATCGGATATTAAATCTCATTGCCAGTTCATATCATTTTCTAAACATGGAAATGTGTTTGAAGAGCGTGATGCTCTAGGACTCAAGTGCAGCTCAGTTGTTTTCTAAATCACAGGACAGTCTGACTACGCGGGTGAAATGGTGTGTTTGTGTGTCTGTTCACAAGCTGTAGTTAACTGCCTCCCTAGAATCACTGTGTTAATGCCTACTGTGATGTCTGCTTGTATCTTCATGCCACACCGAGAAAACCTGTTTGAATGTGACATTGACTTTTTTTGGCATAGAATCAGAATTGTCTGTATTAAAATGTATTTATAAAAAAATATATTTTTTGTGGAAGGAAAGTAGGATTCTAGTTAATATACCATTGGGAAAATGTTAGAAACATTTTTACCGAGTTCATTTATAATTCTTTGTATCTTGTTAGTTACCTGATTTGTTTCCTATAAGAACATCCACTGTGGCCCATTTAGTGGCAACGCAATGCACTGTCATGCAAAGAATCTGGTTTTCAGAAAACTGGGAGTCTTTTGTTTCCTTTTGGGACAGTAGAAGACTAAGTAGGTTGCCGGGAGAAAAAGGAACCTTGGCACCAAATCCACTTCTGTGGCTTTGGCTTCAGTAAGTAGTCTGCTTGACTTGTTTGCAGATAGATAAGTAGCGAGAGCAAAGATTGAGACATCAGGAAAAAGAAAATTAGATGTTACATTTAGTCTTCCTGTAGGAGAACGAAAGTACTAAAATAAATTTATACAAGGGTTAAATAGGGAGTACACTTGCTTAAAATTATTCAATATTGGCATCTTAGTTGTAAATGTGCATACTAGGGAACATGCTTAACTTTTTCCGTTACTTTGGGAAATGGTTAAAAACATGTCACTTTCATTGGCAAGTGTTTCTTCTCCTGTAACAACTTGCAAAATGTAAAAAATAAAAATAAATAAATTATTGATCCTAGAAATGGGAGTGATTGACTATTTTATTTAGATGTTTATATTAGCACATGAAAAACATTTCCATTTTCATTTCAGATGTCCTCCATCAATATTCGAGCTTCAGTTTTGTGCAAATTTATGTGACTAGCTTCACTTTCTGATGATTATAAACTAAGCAAGGCACATGTAAAAACTTTTCAGTGGTTTGCGTGGTTACATGACTAAAACAATTACATTAAAAGTCTGTAAATGGGATTCAGCTTTCTGATTGGTGAAAATATCTTGGGGCATAAT